GAGAAGGAAGAGGAAGAGGAGGAGGAGGAGGAGGAGGAGGAGGAGAAAGAGGGTGTCTATGGTGACTGCTGCTTCCCTCCTGCTGCTCCTGGTTACTGCTGTTGTGATTTGACGAGAAGAAATTGAAGATATCCTAACAACAAAAATTGGACTTCCCCCAAGGAACCCAATACCCCTAATCATCAGGAAGTGGACTATTTTGCTGTCTGAAAGGGATCTACGCCCCCTTTCCCATCTAACTTTCTTTCTCTCTTCCCTAGTGTTGGGGGGTTGAAAGGGATCAAGGTGGGATAAGGGTTGGAAGGGAGGTAGAGGCATAAGAACCCAATGAAATAGCTCAAAAAAATACTCCAACACTCCTTAACTTACCAGTTGTAGTCACGGCATTATATCACAGCAGAATCATGGCTAAGTCACCAACAGGTAGGCTTCACTAGAGGGGTGTATGGCTGTGCCCAGGGGCCAGGAAAGTGTCTAGTACACACCAATGTCAGTTATGCCTAGGAACTCTGCAGTCTGGGAGAATCTACGGAATCACTACTTTTACTGTTAGCTACCGTTTGGTAGATGCTACAGTCAGGACCAATTCTACAACCAACATCGCACATGAGCCTAACTTAATCTTCAATGCCTGCAGACTCTCCACTGCAGGGAAGAACTGAAGCGGCAGAAAGGATTGTCCAGGATCACACAGGATGAGCCACCGCGAGACAGAGCACTGCTGTTACTAACTAGATTGTGTGATCTCTCTTCAGATACAAAGGATCACAGTTTTCTTTCCTAGAAAGCTACTAATGTCTCTAACACAGGTCAGAAACCAGGTCTTTGAGAATTAGCTCGATTGTGTGAGTGGTCTAAACCAATTCATGTGAAACACTGCACAGGTACCAAGAAGTGAAGTCCTGGGGCTAGCGAGATGGCTCAGTGGTTAAGAACACTAGTCACTCTTCCAGAGGACCTGGGTTTGAGTCCCAGTCCCCACATAGTGCTCAGAACCATCTGGAACTCCAGTTCCAAAGGATACTCTTCTGACTTCCATGGAAACTGTAAACTTGTGCCCCTGAGAAATTCTTTTTTACTCATTTTATGTGTATGACTGTTTTGCCTGCATGTATGCATTTCTCAGTGCACCAGAAGAAGCAAGTCAAGTTCCAGGTAGCCAAGGACTTTATGGAGGTGGCAATGGTGTAAACCAGCACATAGCAGGGGCCTGACATCTTAAGGGACACAGTGGATGGGTTATGGATTTAGAGGCTGACTTTGAGAATTCGTATCATTCAGATGACTGGTAATACAGTCCTAAGCCAGAAGAGGAAGATGTTTAAATGGAATAAAGCTGAGAGATGCAGGTCATGGTCAGAAGTGGATGAGAAGGCTGAGATATCCCCCAGTCCATGGAGTCAGGGGAATACTCTAAGGCAGCCTGTCCACCTGAGTTCCTTGTCATGAGGGAAGTGCTCCAGAGAACAATGTTCAATTGGATGGCCTCCAGCTTCCCAGAGTGCTAGCCTGGGTGGCAAAAATCCAGCTAGTATGATGAAGAGACTTAATGTTTTATTTAATTTTAATTAGTATTAATATAAGCAATACTATGAATCGACTGGCCATGGTGCCGAGCAGTACCATTCTATGGGTTCTGGCTCAGATAGGTGAACTGAAGATCCTATTACAAGAATCTAAGAAAGAAATACTATGAAGAATAGCATACAGATACTCAAGTATTCGCTGACTGTTGTAGTAATTTTTTAATCTCAGTTGGGGGTTACTACCCTGCCTTTAATCATTCAATTCCCAGACAAAAGATATACCACTTTTATATTATAATAAGCCTTTAATGCACCATACCTGGGCAGATTATCTACCCTCTATCCTACTATGTCTACTTCCTATCAATAACCATGAATTATAACTCACCATGTACCATCTGGGCCGCTCTTAAATCCAACTGGCCAGTCCTCATGGCCGTGTTTGCATGACTCACCTACCCCATGGCATCTTCTCTCTCCACATTCTTCTCTCTCCTCTTGGTCCTTCCTCAGGCCCAAAGCACACACCAAAACCCAGCCTCCCTCTCTTCTGCCCAGCAATAGGCTGTAGGCATCTTTATTCAACCACTAGTTTTAGGTTAAAGAGCAAGGTCACACAGTACCATTTGTGAACATGTAGACTCTCTTGTCCATGGGGGAACCAGGCCTTGGGGGCCATATTTAACATTACAATACATAGCAAAAGACCAAATCTCCACAGCTGATTCCAAGAACAAACAAATCAATAATTAAGGGGGTGGTCCTTTTGGAGCCACACCCTTTTCTAAAATCCAAGCAGAGATGTATTTACCCTTGGCCATTTGGATTCTGATTAACAGCCTCAACATGGCAGCATCAAAATGCTATCAGGTGGTCTCCAGGTAATTGTTAAAATGTTGCTACCAAATAAAAATCGCTTTTAGTATATCCTGAATCCATAGTGAGTCACACCATAGGATAAATAACTACCTAGTTTTGTTATTATTGCTTTCAAGGCTATTTCTAAAATCAGGAAGAGAGTGGAGAGAACTAGGTGTTTATGATAATGAACATGAGTTCAGGTGACCTCACACACATTGCAGACCATTTGTGTCAACAGCAGTACAAATTACCTTCAGTTTGCATTTCTCAGCGCCCTGCATGGAAGACTCTGCACCAGGCTCAGGAAATCTTTTCTACTGGCATCTTACAAAGTCAATGATAATAAAAGTGTTTCCTGTTAATCTCACTTATTCATGACATTTAAAGTCAATATGAAACAAGGAGTCCTGGGATATGAAAAGGCTTCCTGTGAAAACAGACTTTGTCTGAACTGCTCCCTGTTAATCTTCCTGTGCTCCCCTAATCTGACTGCATTAAACCTGTTTACTATTTCGGTCCTTGACATGGCTCTTAAGCCTCTCAATTCTAGTTTCACAGGAGTCAGAAGCGGCAAAGCTCACATGTGGTCCCTCCAGGTGCAGATGCTTGCTCAACTCATTTTCTTGTTCCACACCCTTCACAAGACCTTGCTTCCATCTATGTCATTAGGCCGTCAGCATCTCAATCACTCACAAATGCAACTCTGCTTACAACACTTACAGCCTAGGTCAGTAGCAGCCTTTGTGTTTTCCCTATGGTCTTGGGGATTCATCTCCCACTGCATTACATACCTGTATTTTTTACAGCAGAACATGTTTATCTGGTCCTGTAACTCAATACAATATATAACAGAACTGTTAGGAAACAGTGGGGGAGACATGGTTGAGTAGCAGCAAAGACCCTTGCCCTTACACAGCCTTACTGAGCTGGCAGGGTATAAAGATAAGAATAAAGCAGGTGACGCAGGAGATGGCAACAGCAGAGGCAGTGGAGTAAGTCGAAATACAATCCAGCAGCATCTATTAAATATAGCGCATATCACATCACCAACTAGGATTAGCACTTCTAAAAGTCCTTTTTAGAGTTATTTTATGTGTGTGAGAGTTTTGCCTCCATGTATGTGTGTGCACCACAATTGTATCTGGTGCTCTTGTAGGTTAGTAGGGGATGTAGGGTCCCCTGGAA